TGAGCCTAAAATCAAGCCCCGGAAGTCTAGTTTCCAATGGCGCTAGTATCACTCCCAAATTCTAAATACAGAAAAGGTTATACCCAAATTAGTGATCACTGTTCACGTTGTGTCAATTAGTTATGTACCATTTCTTCACCTAAAACATTTCCTATCGATTTCTCCCGTTTTCCAAGACATGGATTACAACATATTAAAGAATAATGAGCTTGGTACCACCATGACTAATTGATTGAACGATCAACGAGAATAAGTAAAGGATCGAGTATAACCTCATATTATGTGTTGTGCACTATAATTGTAGGTCGAGACGAGGACATTGTACCATTACCACCGGGAACCGATCACTGTGAGTAGTAGTACTTCGATGTATCTTTAACCATTAATGAGTATTGTTATTGACGTTATGATCTTCGTCATAAGAATTATGTTGACATGTATGTTATGTATGCTACGTAAATATTGTGAAATTATGGAAACATCAAAGGTGTATGCTATATGAGGAACATTGTGAAATTATGGAAACATCAAAAAGGATTTGTGAAATATGCATCTCGAATTTGCGAAGTATGGATCACCAACTTGTGAAATATGAAACGATGTGGCCGAGGGCCATTTGTGAAGTATGAATTTCCGAATTGTGAATTGTGAAACTATGAAGCTAAGAGCCGGATTATGAACCTATGAAACCCAAAAGCTAATTTATGTATATGTGAATTTATGAGGCCGAGGGCCGACTTGTGAATTTATGTGGCCAGGGGCCATTTGTGAACTATGAACCTATGTGGCCAGGGGCCATTTGTGAAATTATGAAGCTATGAGGCCAAGGGCCAAAGGCCTTAGTGCCATATGTTACAAGGGCTTTATGCCATATGTTTCAAGGGCCTTAGTGCCATATGTTACAAGGGCTTTATGCCATATGTTTCAAGGGCCTTAGTGCCATATGTTACAAGGGCTTTATGCCATATGTTTCAAGGGCCTTAGTGCCATATGTTACAAGGGCTTTATGCCATATGTTTCAAGGGCCTTAGTGCCATATGTTACAAGGGCTTTATGCCATATGTTTCAAGGGCCTTAGTGCCATATGTTACAAGGGCTTTATGCCATATGTTTCAAGGGCCTTAGTGCCATATGTTACAAGGGCTTTATGCCATATGTTTCAAGGGCCTTAGTGCCATATGTTACAAGGGCTTTATGCCATATGTTTCAAGGGCCTTAGTGCCATATGTTACAAGGGCTTTATGCCATATGTTTCAAGGGCCTTAGTGCCATATGTTACAAGGGCTTTATGCCATATGTTTCAAGGGCCTTAGTGCCATATGTTACAAGGGCTTTATGCCATATGTTTCAAGGGCCTTAGTGCCATATGTTACAAGGGCTTTATGCCATATGTTTCAAGGGCCTTAGTGCCATATGTTACAAGGGCTTTATGCCATATGTTTCAAGGGCCTTAGTGCCATATGTTACAAGGGCTTTATGCCATATGTTTCAAGGGCCTTAGTGCCATATGTTACAAGGGCTTTATGCCATATGTTTCAAGGGCCTTAGTGCCATATGTTACAAGGGCTTTATGCCATATGTTTCAAGGGCCTTAGTGCCATATGTTACAAGGGCTTTATGCCATATGTTTCAAGGGCCTTAGTGCCATATGTTACAAGGGCTTTATGCCATATGTTTCAAGGGCCTCGTGCCACCATGTTTCAAGGGCTTATAGCCACCATTTTTATGTTGCAAGATTGAACTTAAAGCCATTATGTACGTAGCACAGAATCAGACTAACTATGTGAACTCTACATCTTTATATGTATTGCTATGTGTTATGTTTCAATTTAAGCATCGTTTTATTTATGTATTACTATTCACTGAGCTTGGCTCACTCTATCTAACATCTGTTTCTGTAGGTAACCAACCAAGTGGTCAGTCCTAGTCATGACACCCGTTTTTTTTTGTCAACCTTCGTGGGTTCAGGCGCTGCACGAAGCCATTTATTTTTGTAAAGTCTATTGAAATGTTGGCTTAATTTTGATTACCTATTTAAAGTTAAAGTGGTAGAACTTCAATGATTTTTATATAAGCCCAATGATGGGGCTGGGTCTGTACATATGGTTGTTTATCACCGATGCCATAACATATGGCTTGGAGCTTTATCCATTTTCCATGATAAATGTGATGTATAAGAGGTCCTGGCATGTAGATGTAGCTCAATGGAATTTATATGTATTGTTATTTTCCTACTTTATGCTTCCGGTGAGGCCCCATATGTTATTTATTACAGGTTAAGTGTTCGTTCTCAAACGGGTCATGCCCAAACTTTTAGGGGCGGGTTTGGGCGTGACAAGTGGTATCAGAGCACGAGTTGCTATCTCACACACGAATCCATTGAGCTTTAGGATGTCCAGAAAAGACTTAGGCATCATGTATGACATCCTTAGTGCACACGAAAGGAATTGATAGCAACGATAATGGTACATGTAATGACGCTAACTGCAATGGTTATTATTCATGTCTATTATACATTTCTTGTATATATTGTGATTGATTACTATGCAGAACATGGTAAGACCTGCAGATGGGATTAAATCAATAAAGTTGCGCAGCGGAAGCGTGGTAAGAATTCACGTTGAATGGTAAGACAAGTTATATGCCTATGACTAAGTGAAATGTGTGTTATTAATTGTGACTGTAGAATTGATAAATATCTACGAAGCATCTGTTAAGATGACTTGCTTACATGATTTAGTGCGCACATAAGATAATATGTGCGATGTGCACTTTCTGTAACATAGGCACATCCTTCTTATTATAACAATGTTTAAACCTGCGAGTTCGAGAGGTTATTGTAAGTTGATAGTTGCTAAAATAAGTTTCGCATGATACTTTGTAATATGTTGAAAAGGACTGGCTATGATAAAAAGTTATACATATAGTGATTCTGTTTTGTTCATGTGTAATCTGTAATCTGTAATCAGGATTTCTTACAAGGAATGGTCGAATAATATGAAGAACCCCACCTATATGATGAGTCTGCCCATATGATACCGGTAAAAAAAAAAAAATGATTAGTTATGACAAAAAAAAAAAATTTGGAATTTTGTTTCTGCATTTTAATGCAAACTGTTAAACTAATCCCTATTCTATATTTAAAAAGGGGTTAAGTAAAGTTTATGACTAACTAGTCAACTTGAACTTATGACGACATGACCAAGTGTCTAGTATGTTGCGAGAAGTTACGAAACTGTATGTTCTTTGTTTTGATACTATAAGGATGATTTGTGATCACATGTTTTTAAACAGTAAGTATTTTTCGAAATGATCAAAATGTTATGAACTTCCGACATGTTTTTGACATAATAAGCTTTCTGGATAATTTTCCAAAATGACTAGATACGCTACGAAGCTCCGAATGTTCAAGATATGACAAGATTTCTGAAAGAAATATTCTGCTATGCGTGAATGAGTTCTTTAATTGATAATTTATTGTTGCATACATGATGAAAGCTTTATGTTGAGCCTCAAGTTATTCTGCCTATCTGTTATAAGTTAAATCGGAGATTGTTCTGTCAAAGTTTAAATAAGTTTAAGGCTATTGAGAATTATTCCATCATCTGATATCTTTGAAAGGCCTGATAAGTTTCTGAGTAATATCTCTGAATGACGTATTGTATGTACGTATGAAGGGTTTGAAGAACTTTATGTATTACATATTTTTGGAAAATGTTCTTGTCCATGTTAGAAACATTTTACTACCTATGGAACAAGAATATAAGAATTTCATGGTAAATGTATTATGTGCTTGTTGTCGTCATGTTGACTTTGAGGTCTTCTAAGCCAGCATGGATTGTAAATGAATACTACTTTACTGTAATGTGGGAAGTATGACCATTAAGGTTTGATCTGTATTTGATTTTACGAATCCTCTACTCTGAACATGTAATTTCTTGATATGAAATTTAGGTTGGCACTTGGAGTTTTTTAGAGATTTGATTTGAACTGATAAGTCTAATTCAGATAATGAACAAAGAGCCATGAAGTTGTTGAGTTAGAATTTAATTACTACGATGGGTCTAATTATTGTATGAGGTATATACCTTTGAAATGCGATTATGTCGTGAATGTTTCCTTAACCTTTGAGGAATTATGATAATGGGGGTTATTTGTGAGTTTGAATTATGTTTGATAGTTTATGAGCTGCATGCGAACGAATACTTGAAATGAATTCATTTCTGAATACCCTTAAGCTGTCATATTATGTGGAAGATATGATTTGTGGAGTAATAAATTAAAATGTACAAGTTATGAATAATGGGACGATACTTTGATGTTATTACATACTACTATCAAGTGGGTTACCAATTAGTCAGTAAAGACACATTACTTGTGATTTTGGAAGCAACCTCCATTGAAATTGATTGTATAAAATTGGGAATGGCTAAATGATTGAGAAATGTTATATGTCCAAGACGGAACGAGACTTGTGACAAGGAGAATCAAGTTTGGAGGACCAAACTTCTTAAGGTGGGAAGGATGTAATGACCCCAAAATGTGTATAAGAAATCATCTTTATTTCCCTATGAAATGATGTGGTTTAATTTAATTATATCTATTAGAATTGAAGCATTATCGGTTGAGTTACGGACTTAAAATGGGAATTACCGACCTTTATGGGTTCAAAAATCAAAATTGAGTACTTGGATATGTTAATGGGAATTTTTGGAATTATTTGGGAAAATTAATTTGAAATCTAATTTGTCTGATTCGTTAATGGACGTTTGGGTGATTAACTTTATACTGCAAATTAAAGGCCTTAAATACTTCAGATACCGGAACAGGGGATATATTTATGATCAGCATAATTTTTAGAGTTATCTGGGAAGTTTAATTGAAATGTGATTTTGTGCGATTCGTTGGCCCTTCCTATTTGTGAGAAGCTTTTACATATGCATATATGCCTTATGAGTTGTTGAACTCATCTATTTTGAACCAAACACAAAAATAAAAATATCTAGAGAAAGGGGAAGTAGAACCGTTAGAGAGAGAGAGGGAGAGAGAGAAGAGGCAAAGCTTCTCCCTAAGGAATTCAACATCCATGGAAGCTTGAAGATGGTTGAAGAAGATAGAAGAGAGAGGAAAGATCAACCAAAAGCTTGGGAAAAATTGAAGAGACTAAGGGATGAACAAAGGTTTGGGTAAGGTATGTGGCTCTAATTACTAACCTTGTATAGAATCCATCTACTACTTGAAATCATGGATTGATATAGAAGATGTGAACTTTGAACCCATGAACCTTGATTTTCTAAGAATTCCTTGATTGAAGAAGTAAAATCATTAAATTTGTTTATTGTGAGATTATGGTGTTTGATGAAGAATAATAATGTGAAATTGGTCATGTATTAAAGGGTTTTGAGCTTTGATTTACATGTAATTAAGGTTTGATTTTTGAAAATGAGAAGTCCCACAATTTCAGCCATTTTCGGACTGCTGCTGTCCAGGGCCGCACGTGCGGGGACAGCTCTGTCCAGCCAACTTTGAATAGGTATATCTTTTGCATCCGGACTCCGTTTTGAGTGATTCTTGAGCCTAAAATCAAGCCCCGGAAGTCTAGTTTCCAATGGCGCTAGTCTCACTCCCAAATTCTAAATACAGAAAAATTTATACCCAAATTAGTGATGACTGTTCGCATTGTGTAAATTAGTTATGTACCATTTCTTCACCTAAACCATTTCCTATCGATTTCTCCCGTTTTCTAAGACATGGATTACAACATATTAAAGAATAATGAGCTTGGTACCACCATGACTAATTGATTGAACGATCAACAAGAATAAGTAAAGGATCGAGTATAACCTCATATTATGTGTTGTGCACTATAATTGTAGGTCGAGACGAGGACATTGTACCATTACCACCGGGAACCGATCACTGTGAGTAGTAGTACTTCGATGTATCTTTAACCATTAATGAGTATTGTAATTGACGTTATGATCTTTGTCCTAAGAATTATGTTGACATGTATGTTATGTATGCTACGTAAATATTGTAAAATTATGGAAACATCAAAGGTGTATGCTATATGAGGAACATTGTGAAATTATGGAAACATCAAAAAGGATTTGTGAAATATGCATCTCGAATTTGTGAAGTATGGATCACCAACTTGTGAAATATGAAACGATGTGGCCGAGGGCCATTTGTGAAGTATGAATTTCCGAATTGTGAATTGTGAAACTATGAAGCTAAGAGCCGGATTGTGAACCTATGAAACCCAAAAGCTAATTTATGTATATGTGAATTTATGAGGCCGAGGGCCGACTTGTGAATTTATGTGGCCAGGGACCATTTGTGAACTATGAACCTATGTGGCCAGGGGCCATTTGTGAAATTATGAAGCTGAGGCCAAGGGCCAAACTTGTGAACTTGTGAATCCAAAGGGCCGAAGGCCGATGTGATAAGTTGTGAATCTATGAAACCTAAAGGCTATCGTGAATGTGTGAACCCCTCAGGCCAAGGGCCGAACTGTGGAATTGTGAAACCGATAAACTCATCTGTAATCTAATGAAAATGTGCTTACTTTGTCCTGTTAACTTTATGTTAATTACGTCAACTCGTGGGAATGATGTAACGGTTACCATTAGGACTCTATTAATTACAAGGCAAGGCAACTATGTTAACATATAAGAACGATTAAACAACGGTGTATACTATTGATTAATAGAGCACGTGAATTAAGTCATTTACCCAAAAGAATTTATGTTCATTCTTGAAGAATAGATTCTAAGTAAATATAAGAGTAGCTATGTGTATCCATATGAATTTGAAGTTATGTTGCTATGTTGCTTATGAATTGGAAGTTATTCAGAATCTACGATATAAGTGCAAAGTTTAGCATTATTATGTAACTCTTATGAGAATGTGAATTAGTCTCTTATTGTTAAGCGTATGATAATGACATGACACAACAAGAAACGCTCCAGTTATAATATGTTCCGTTTGACTTAATGAATGATGTTCAAGTATGTTTCAGGTATGTTTCCAGTATGTTACAAGTTCAAGTATGCTCAGGTATGTTTCAAGTATATGTTACAAGTTTAAGTCTGTCACAAGTTCAAACAAGTTTCAAGGGCTTTATGCCAATGTTTCAAGGGCCTCGTGCCACCACATTTCAAGGGCTTATAGCCATCAAGCTTATGTTGCAAGATTGGGTCTAAGGCCGTTATGTACTTACCCCAGAATCAGACTATTACATTGACATGTATTATGGTTCAAGTTAGGCATCATTTTATTTATGTATTACTATTCACAGAGCCCGGCTCACTCTCTATTATGTCTGTTTCTGTAGGTCATGGCTCACTCTGTCTAATGTCTGTTTCTGTAGGTAACCAACCAAGTGGTCAGTCCTAGTCATGACACCCGTTTTCTTTTGTCAACCTTCGTGGGTTCAGGCGCTGCACGAAGCCATTTATTTTTGTAAAGTCTATTGAAATGTTGGCTTAATTTTGATTACCTATTTAAAGTTAAAGAGGTAGAACTTCAATGATTATTTTTATATAAGCCCAATGATGGGGCTGGGTCTGTACATATGGTTGTTTATCACCGATGCCACAACATATGGTTTGGAGCTTTATCTATTTTCCATGATAAATTTGATGTATAAGAGGTCCTGGCATGTAGATGTAGCTCAATGGAATTTATATGTATTGTTATTTTCCTACTTTATGCTTCCGATGAGGCCCCATATATTATTTATTACAGGTTAAGTGTTCGTTTTCAAAAGGGTCATACCCAAACTTTTAGGGGCGGGTTTGGGGCGTGACATGGACACTCATAAGCAAACCAACATCTTGACAACTTAAGAAATTAAATGATTTAAATAGTGCCTGAACATTTGAAGGTTGACAAAAGGAAGCGGCGTCTTGACTAGGGCTGACTGCATGATTGGTGACCTACTGAAACAGACATAACAGAGGGTGAGCCGGGCTCAGTGAATAGTAATACATAAATAAACCAATGCTTAACTTGAAACATAATTCATATCAATGAATAAAAAGGTGCAAAGTTCACATAGGTAGTCTGAATCTGTGCAAAGTACATAACGGCCTTAGGCCCAATCCTGCAACATAAACATAATGGCTATAAAGCCTTTGAAACACGGTGGCACGAGGCCCTTGAAACGTGTGGTACGAGGCCCTTGTAACTTGTGGCATAAAGCCCTTGTAACATATGGCACTAAGGCCCTTGAAACTTTTTGGCAGTGAAGCCCTTGAAAGTGGCATAAAGCCCTTGAAAATGGCATAAAGCCCTTCAAAATGGCATGAAACCCTTGTAAACATATTGGCATTAAAGCCCTTGAAAATGGCATGAAGCCCTTGTAAGTGGCATAAAGCCCTTGAAAATGGCATAAAGCCCTTGAAAATGACATGAAGCCCTTGTAAACATATTGGCATTAAAGCCCTTGAAAATGGCATGAAGCCCTTGTAAGTGGCATAAAGCCCTTGAAAATGGCATAAAGCCCTTCAAAATGGCATGAAGCCCTTGTAAACATATTGGCATTAAAGCCCTTGAACATACTTGAACTTGTACATACGTAAACTTGTAACATAGCTTGTAACATACTTAAGCTTGTATCGTACTCAAACTTGTAACATACTTAAATTTATAACATACGTGAACTTGTAACATGCTTCTACTTGTAATATACTTGAACTTGTAACGTACATACACTTGTAACTTAATTATGTAAACCACGGTATTATTACCCCCGGGTAAGGGCAATGTGCTAAGGATATCATGAATTCATTAATTCAAACGTAACATATCATAACTAGAGCATTTCTTGATTATTTAGACTTGTTGGCCTTTAGCTCTTACATATATTGGCATTAAACTTGTTGGCATTTAGCCCAAACTTTATCATAGCAAACATATTTCAGAGTCTTACAGAATTCCAGAATCATAGGAGGGTTGTTTCATTCTTTCTCTTACTTATCTACCTTCCTTGAATCATTTACATAAACATATAACATTTACCTTCCTTGAATCATTTATATACATATAACATTTATCTTCCTTGAATCATTTACATAAATATAACATTTATCTTCCTTGAATCATTTAAATACATAAGTAATGGAATTAACAGAATACTAATGGCAAGCATTAGCGGTGGTAAAGCGTACTACTACTCACAGCGGTAGGTCTCTGATAGCGGTGGAACGATGCCCTCGTCTTGGCCTACGAACACAATGCATATAATAGATTATGAGAATAAAACCAGTCTCTTTTTATTCTTCATTCAATAGCTATGGTGGTTCTAGACTCATTAGTCCTCTATAGGTTATAATCCATGCCTCATAAAATAGGAGGAATCGATAGGAGAAAGGTTCAGACGAAGAAACGGTACAAACCGTTAACCAGAAAGTGAACAGTCGTCACTAATTCGGGCATAACTATATCTGTATTTAAAATTTTGGAGTGAGACTACCACCATTGGAAACTAGATTTCCGGGGCCTGATTTTAGGCTCAAGAATCACTCAAAACGGAGTTCGGATGCAAAAGATATGCCTGTTCAAAGTTACCCGGTCTATGCTGAAACAGGGGTGGCCGCTCGTGCGCCCACTTTGGCCGCTCGTGCGGCCCAATTCCGCTCGAGCGGAAGGACCTAGCCGCTCGAGCGCCCAAAAACAGAATGAAAATCCCTTTTTTTTCTTCATGTCCGCTCGTGCGGTGCCCGTGGCCGCTCTTGCGGTCTGGGCAAAAACATCAGTCCGAAAATGGGTCTTTTGCTCCAACACTTGATTCTTTCCATTCTTAAACTTAGTTCTAAACATAATTCACTCAAAAACATGTACAATTGCCTAATAACATGATAAACTAAAATCAACCAAGTGTAATCTCCTCTCAAATAAAACAATCTATGTCTCAAATTAAAAATCCAACTCTCATCTTTCTATATAATCAAACTTCCAAAATATATGCTCTCAAATCATAAGAATATATCTTACCTATGGTTGAGTTTCACACTAAAACTTGTTATTCCACAAATCTTTGTTAAGATTGGACCCAATTCAAACAAATTTAAGGCAAGCAAAGTTAATTTCCTTGAATTCAACCCATTTCACCCAAAATCCCAAAACACTAATTTATTTACATTTTAAACTTCCAAATTAATCCTTGATTTCATGTAATAATTGAATTATTTACAAAGATAGTAGTTAAAATCACAAACCTTAACCCAAATCCTTGAATTCCCCCCTTAAAGCTCTTTAATCTCTAAGCTTTCCCTCCTTCCTCTTTGAGTTCTCTCAAGAACTCTCTCTCTGTCTCACGGGTCTTCCCCCTTTCTCTAGATATTTTGGTTCAAAATAGATGAGTTCTACAACTCATAAGACTTCTACTCACATAACTATACACACACACAAGGGAGACCCAAACGTGGCCATACGAATCGTACGAAATTAAATTTCAATTAAACTTTTTAGATAACTCTAAAAATTACGCTGATCACGAATATACCCTTTATTCTGGTTTCTGAAACCTCTAAGGCCTTTAATTTACAATACAAAATTAGCCACTCAAATGTGCTTTAATGAATCAGACAAATTAGAGTTCTAATTAATTTTCACAAATAGTTCTAAAAATTCCCATTAACATACCCAAGTACTCAATTTTGATTTTTGAACCCATAAGGGTCGTCAAGTCCAGTTTTAACGTCATAACTCAACAGATAGGTCTTCGATTCCAATATTAAAACACATTATCCCCTAATTAAATAAGGGTGACTTCTTATACGCATTTTGGGGTCGTTACATCCTCCCCACCTTAAGAAGTTTGGTCCTCCAAACTTGATTCACCTTGTCACAAGTCCAGCTCCGTCCACGCTATTATATTCTTGTTCCATATTGAGTAAAAGACCTTTCAAAGATATCAGATGATGGAATCATTTCCCATAGCATTAAACTTATTTAAACTTTGACAGAACCATCTCCGATCCAACTTATAACCGATAAGACAGAATAACTTGAAATTCAACACAGAGCCTTCATCAGGCATGCCACAATGAATTATCAAATGGAAAACTCATTCATGCATAGCAAAATATGTCTTTTAGAAAACTTGTCATATCTTGAACATTCGAAGTTTCGTAGCATATCTAGTCATTTTGGGGAAATTATTCGGAAAGCTTATCATATCATAAACATGTCGGAAGTTCAGAGCATATTTTATCCTTTCAGAAAATACTCATCATGTAGAACATTTCGTAACCAAAATATAGATTCCATTAAACATCGTATAGCATAGCCATTTTCAAAATTATTTACACAAAAGTATCTTTTACAAAGGCATTACTTACTTAGGTCCATAGTACTGAATTTAATTGAGGGTATGACCTCTATGAATAACACAGATCACATAAGTTTTTTTTTTTTTTTTTTTTTTTCCATAAACACTCATTTCCATATCATAATAAAGGAACAAGCCTTAAATTAATGCTTATATAAATATTTCATCCTTAATCAATAACGGTGGGTTTATGATAACAATATGTTAGGTTCAGAATAAAAACACATCAGAACAAAATTATGTCTTTCAGACAAATGACAATCCACAAAAGAAACACAATTTCCTTCACCAGCATACATATCCCAATTCCCCCAACATACACTCTATCTCTACCAATTAACATACTCAACACCACCAATGTCCTAGTCAAAATTTCAATTTCCCTGCATTACTAACCTTCCATAAAATTCCACTGAATATTATGTGGTCACAGATTATGATACCTGTATTTCTTATCATTCCAGGTAGCAATTTCAACGTCCTAACTCTTGATTACTAGTTCACGCTCGTTATCAATTGTCAAATATTTCAACCCTAATAATTCCAGGATTTGTCAACTACCATAATTCTAATATCTCCTTCCCAAATATTCTTTCTAAGGCTTTAAGTAAGGCTCTAAATCTCTTATCAATTCATGTTTCCAAAACTCAACATGCTTGCACTTCTTCATTAGTCAAGATAAAACACTACAATTGCATAAACCTTAGCCTTTGATGTTCTTATACATATCACGTAGAAAAATATGGATTACAGATTATAATTTACATGTAACAAAATAGATTACAAATGGTAGCGTTAAATTTCAGATTTCAAAGTGCACATTTAGCTTACAGGTTTCCATAAACAAATTACACTCGCTAAAGGAGGTCATTATATGCCTAACTTCTTCTTACAGTCAATCGTACTCAATACACTTTCAATTAGTACGCATCCATATTTTATCAAACTACTCAAATGCAGTACTTTCTTAAAATCACAGATCTAAACTTGATCATGGTGAGGAAAACATAACTCTAGCTTAAAGTTAGAGTATCACACATAGCATTTCCTTTGTTCTTAGAAATATCCCATGCTTAGAGTTTAATCAATTCACCAATTCACGTAAAGAACTACTAAAAAGCATCATTTTATCGTCGTCATTTCTCACAAATGATTAACAACCGACAATATACATTTTATTTAATCTTTACAT